TCCTCACGAAACCTGCTCTCACTCTAACCCTAACCCATACCTTGAGATGGGGGCCGCTGCCTAGGCCACAAATAGGAAACAGCTGATACCTCAGCATCAGGCCTAAAGCATCAAGCATGGCCTGCAAGAGGGGAGAAAGCAAACAAGTTCTTCTTCCCATTCTTATTAGTGTTCCATGCCTGGCTGAAGTGGCGGGCCTTAGGTCTGAGGATGGGTGCCAAGAAATAAATAAGAACCTTTCTAGAAGTCTCTGTAGCCCACTTAACTTGGTGTAAACCTAGATAAGTTGCTGCACAGGGAGAGAAGAGAAATCAAGTCCTGGAGTCCCATTCCTCCAAAAGTATTAATAACTGAGGATTTCTATAAGCCTGAGACTGTCCTAAGTGATCTATAGGTCTTCACTATATTCTCAGTCTTTTTGTTTGTTTTTTTGCCAGTGCAGGCATTTAAACTCAGGGCCTCCTGCCTGCTTGCTTAGCTTGCTCACTCAAGTGGCACTCTACTACTTGAGCCATGCCTCTAGCCTTGACTTTTGCTGGTTATTTTGGAGACAGAGTCTCGTGGACTATGCCTACAGCTGGCCTCAAACTTTGATCCTCCAGATCTCAGCCTCCTGAGTAGTTAAGATTATAGATATAAGCCACCAGCATCTGGCTTTTTACTATTATTATTTAAACAAGATGCTGGGAAATAAATACTATGACTGTTCTTGGTTTAGATGAGAAAGCTGAGAACACACTTAATCTCGGTATCACACTGTGTAGGGAAGCAAGGAGACTGGACCCATATGCTAGCAGGCTGGCAGGCCCAACTTATGGACAGCAGAACTGTGGGAAAAGCCCTTAACTACTCATTGCCTCCGTTTCCACATGTATATAGACTGGAGATGCTACCAGACACTTCACAGAGTAACTCTAGGCATGCAAAGAAACCATGTACATAAGATACTTGTGCTCCATACTGGCACACAGACAGACTTCAGGAAGTATGACATCCCCATATATATGATGCTAGAGGTTCATACCCACAATGAAGAAATCACTTCGGATAGGAGAGTTATTTAATCTTGCCAAATGATCTCCTGCCTGGAAATTCTGCTCCACACCTAGCTAGCTGGCTCGCTCGCCGTCACCCCGCCAGGCCAGTTGGCTCCTGCGCAGGTGGCCCTGGTTCACACACTCCCTACTCTGACCTTTGAAGGAACGTTCCGGGCCCACCTCCCTTAATGGACATGGGGCACGTTCCCTGGGGGTTCTGGGGGACCCCACGTCCCAGCGCCATGCAGCTCTCCCTGTCTGCAATGCAGCTCTCCCTGTCTGCAGCCAGGCTTACATCTGCCGGTGCTCCTGGCGGGAGTGGAGTGTTCTGGGTGTGTGTGGGACAGCCGTGTCACTGTGAGGGGCTTTCTGACCCTCACAGGGTGGTTTCTCTGACTGTCTTCATTGTTAGGACGTTCCAGGGGTGTCTGCTGCAGGAGACAGAACCAAACAAGGCTCTATTCATGTGCCCAGCAACTTTTGTGTTATTTTCAAATGCTCCTGGACATGTGTGCGGGTGATTAATCTTTAATCATAAGCCTACTTAATCATAAACTTTAATCATATCTATAGTCTCTGTGTGCACACGCACACACACACACATGCACACCCATACACACACACATACCAGTACTAGGACTTGAACTCAGGACCTCAGCTCTCACTTGGCTTTTTGCTCAAGGCTGGCACTCTCTCATGAGCCATACCTCCACTTCCAGCTTTTTGCTAGTTAACTGGAGATTAGAGTCTCTCAAATTTTTTTTTTTGGGGTCCCGTTGTGGGGCCTGAACTCTGGGCCTGGGCGCTGTCCCTCAGCTCTTCAGCTCAAGGCTAGCGCTCTACCACTTGAGCCACAGCGCCACTTCCAGCTTTTTTTCTTTTTGCTTATGTGGTGCTGGGGAATCGAACCCAGGGCCTCAGGCATGCAAGGCAAGTGCTCTACCACTGAGCCACCTTCCCAGTCCCTCTCTCAAATTTTTTTTCTGCCTGTGGTTGGCTTTGAACCCTGATCCTTGATCCTCTAGCTCTCCCCTCCTGTGTACCTAGGATCACAACTATGGCACCAGGCTCCAGTGCCCCCCTCCCTCTGTTTATGTGAGTACAAAGTATCTTTGCCCGCTTTCCCCCAGAGATATTGTTTATTGTGTTTCTGTCTTCCTTTCCCCTCTCCTCCCTGCTCCTCGTGTCTCCCCTCCTTTCCACAGTGGAGATTTATTTGCATTTTCTGAAAAATTAATTTTCATCAACCTGCCTGTTGACTAGGTGGGAACTTTCTGGTCCAGTCTCTGTGTCTGGTAGACAGGTTTAATTCTGCACTGAGTCCCAGAAAACCCACTGTGGCTGCTCTCAAATAGCCTGCTGCCAACACAGCACTGCCAGGCTCCTGTATCTGCTTTGTTTTTCAATTGTTTTGCTAGCTGGAGTGGGGAACACCCCGCCTGAGGACTGTAGAAGGTTCTAGAAATCATCCGATACATGACAGGTCATACTTGTATGCTCTTGGCCAGCTGCCCTCAGTGTTTGCCTTTATTGTGGTGTGTGTGTGTGCTGAAGCCCCAGCACCACCTCCAGTGACGCTCTTCTGTCTCTTACAGAAGGCACTGTGCATAGGGCATTTTGTCAATTAGAACCTCCCTCTAGAACTTAAGAATGGATGATAAATCCCAGTGTTGGTCGCACACACCCTTAATCCTGAGTACTCAGGGAGCTGAGACCTGAGGATCCAAAGGTCCAAAGCCATTCCTGGCCGGAAAGCCCAATTCACCAGCAAAAAATCCAGAAGTGAAGCTGTGACTCACGTGGTTGAGCACCAGTCTTGACTGAAAAAGCAGCAAAGACTCCCCTGGGCCACAGGTTAGACAGACGAGCCAGTACTGCTGGCTCATGGAACTTCAGGACTTGCTGTTCACCCAGCCCCAGGCTGCCGCTCCCCACTGCGCCCCCTCGCCAGGGGCTTCCCGTGGGGACTCCCCAAGGGCAGTGGCTCTTTCTCTACCCTTTGCGTCTGCCAACTCTTGCTGTGTCTGAGCAGAAGCTGTGTCTCCACCACCACGCTCTCCTCCCCTCCACCTCCCATTGCCTCCCACTTAGTCACTGTGAGATCATCCTCCGCCTCTGCTCCCAGGCCTCTCCCCAGGACAGAAGCAGAGAGAGCACAGAGGAGGCTGCTGCAAGGCATCATGGGAAAAACGAACTCTATAGAGTCATAGAGATGTGGGTTCAAATGCTTCCCCCCACTTCTCCACCTGTCCCCCTCCCCCCCCCCCAGCTAACCAAGTTACTTAATCTTTTAAAATGCTTGTTGAAAAAGGTCAGACTGCCTGGGAGGCAGTTTCCTCCCTCTGTAGAACTGGGACCGGGACCCTTCATTGCAACCCAGGTTCCTGGTGAGGTTTGCCAGGGATAAAAAGCCCAAGTGCCTGGCCCAGGAAAGGGGCACAGGTGCCCAGCAGAGGCCTGGGTGCCCAGCAGAGGCTCGGGTGCCCAGCAGAGGCTCGGGTGCCCAGCAGAGGCCCAGGTGCCCAGCAGAGGCTCGGGTGCCCAGCAGAGGCTCGGGTGCCCATCTGGAGGCCTGTCGGTGAACCAGGCAAAGGTGTACATGAAATGTGATGGCCTCAGAAAGACAGAGTCAGGGAGGAGGCAGCGCAGGACAACCCGTGGTTGCAGACGTCCAGCACTGCGGGCGATGGGGCTGTCTCTTCCTCTAACCCCTTCCCCAAATGCACCCACTCCTCTGCGGCTGGCTCCATCCTTGTCTGTTGTGAGAAATCTCCCTGGAGTTGGGGGGATGGCAAGCCCCCCCAGGCTTATCCAAAGGAAACAAGCTCACATGGGCCCTCTCCAACTGATGGGGAGACTACACCCCCCAAAAAAAAGGTTTATGGGGACCCCTTGCAGTCTGCCCAGAGCCAGAGGGTCTGGCTGGCACTGGCCCAGCCTCAGGCTCAGTACAAAGGCTTCGCAAGCTCTCTGATGACACAGGGCAGCATCTCACTTCCACCTCCTGGTAGCTGGCATGGTCCCAGTTGACATGGACAGCGCTTCCCTGAGCCTCCCGTGTGCAGACTGTGGCAATGAGGTAGGGGGCCCAGGCTGGGGGTGTCCTGAGTCTTCAGGCCCACACCCCAACCCGCTCAGCGCATTCTTGACAACCTCCATCCTACACTGGAAGGAAACCTGGCCAGTGAGTCTCCTGCTTAGTCCGTGAGCCAGAAGTTGGTTCTAAAGAAGATTCTACTGTCTTCCTCCCTCCCTTGCTATCAGTTCCATAGTTCAATCAACTGTGCTGGCTGGAAGTCCTTCTGTACCTAACCTAGATCTCTCTTTATAGGTCTGGAAGACAGAGAGGGGGGGGGGAGAGAGAGAGGAGAGAGAGAGGATGGGCTTCATTTGTTGACAAGTTTCCCAGGCTTCCTGATGAGTATAATTGGGACTGTTGCCTGCCTGAGAGGTTTGGAGTGAGGACTCCAGGTTGTGACTGTTCTTTCTGACATAAAGATGTGCCCAGGGCTGAGAGCAAGGAAGAAGAGAATACATGTGATACATGTGCACCTTTGATCACAGTCCCATCCTAGACCCCCTACTTGGAACAGCCCTTCGCATTTGCCATCTTCTTCTCCACCTAATCTTCCTTCAAGCTACCCTCAGATACCACTTCCTCCTTGAAGCCCATCCTGAGCTCCCAGAAGAACAAACTCTTCCCATCTCTGCTGGACATGATGTTTTTTCACACAGCTCCAGGAAAGCACAAAGGAGACTGCTTTCTAGTAATTCATTAAGTGTGTGTGTGTGTGTGTGTGTGTGTGCGCGCGCACCCCAGTACTGAGGCTTGAACTCCAGGCTTGGGCACTGTCCCTGAGCTTTTTTGCTCAAGGCTGGCTCTCTCCTACTTGAGCCACAGCACCACTATGCACATTTTGATAGTTAATAGGATAAATGTTTTCTTCTGACTCAAGTTCTTACCTGTCTGTTGAAATCCAGGCCATTTCGATCATTTCCTGGAAGAGAGAACAAACACATAGGGATCATTAGAGGGAGGTGGATAGAGGGAAAATAGCATGCTGAGAGGAGCTAGCCATTTCCCCGACATCCAGGATCTCCCTGCCCATCCTGTGTTCTGGAAATCTCTTGGGAAAGCCTCCTCCCAGGAGCTGGACGCTAGGGAGTCACCTGCAGGCGCAGTCTTCTGAGACAGAGTCTGCATCCCCACAAGTGGGGGGAGCCCCATGCTGTACCCCTAGTGGCACTGCTACACCTCATAGACAGCAAGAAGAGGCCAGCTGTGGGTCTTAAAGGAGTGCCAGGAGGCTCTGTCTGCTAGCCCAGCCCTCCAGGGGGAAGGATACCTAAATGTGATCAGATACACCGGTGACTGCTCTGTCTCCCTGACTCTTATTCATTTCACCTGTTGTTCATCCTCTTCAGCAAAGAAATTTGTAATCTAGGAAAAGTCTAAAGTTCATGCCTGCAATTCTGGTTACATAGGGAGGCTGAGATGGGGAAGATTGTAGTTAGAGGCCAGTGCAAGCAAAAAGTTTATACAATCCCTTCCCAATCAATAGGGGGACTCGGTGAAGCTCTCCTGTAATTCCAGCTTTGCAGGAGGCTGAGATCAAGAGGATCACAGTTCCAGTCCAGCTTGTACAGAAAAATGTTCTTTAAAAGCTGGGTACAGCCAAGTCTGGGAAGGTGGCTTAGTGGTAGAGTGCCTGTCTAGAATACATGAGGCCTTAGGTTTGATTCCTCTGTATCATAGACACAAAAAACAAACAAATAAAAGAATTAAAAGAAAAACCATTAAAAAAAAAAAAAGAGCTGGACATAGAGAACCCGACACCGGTGGCTCCCGCCTGTCATCCTAGCTACTCAGGAGGCCGAGAGCGGAGGATCGCAGTTCAAAGCCAGCCCAGGCAGGAAAGGCCGTGAGACTCTTATCTCCAATAAACCACTAGAAAAAGCCAGAAGTGGTGCTGTGCCTAAAAGTGATAGAGTGCTAGCCTTGAGCAAAATGCTCAGAGACAGCACCCAGGCTTCGAGTCACACACACACACACACACACAGAGTGATGTGCACCTGCTATCTCAGATACTATGGGAAGGGTCAAATGGGAGGGTCAAGGATCAGGATTCAGGCACAGGCTGCTGTAAGGACCCAGTTAGAGGATTGCTGGCAGTGTGGGGCCATAGCAGAGCGGGCAGGGAGGGAGCTGAATGTAGCACGCACACTGCTGAATGGATGTCTGGTGCTGAGAGCTGGATGCAAAATGCAGCGGGAAGAAGGAAGGGGGTGATCCCTAGGTGTGGGCTGTCTGGACAGAGGGAGTGGTGGCCACGCCAACCACGGAGGAGCAGGTGAGCGGCCCCAAACCATGGGCGGTTGGAGACTCCAGTGAGATATCCCAGCGGCAGTGGGAAAGTTGGCCTGGACTCTGGAGGAATTGTGGAGTAAGGAAGAAGAGATTGGACAACTATGGGCTTCTAGGCAGTATTTAACATCACGAGACTTCGAGAGATCACAAAGGAGCCTGGTCAGGAGGAAGAGCAGCAGCTGGGCCTCGAGCTTGAGCATGGTAGCTTGCACGTAGAAAGCAGAGGGGGCAAATATGGCAAGTACATGAAGGGAGTCATCAAATGAATGCCACGCATGGACCTAGAAGGTAGGAAGGGAACTGTCGGGGGACGGGGAGCCACTTGACATAGAGCAGGTCAGCAGGTTTGTGGGCAGTCAAAGATGGATCCCCTTTGTTCTTTCCTTTTGCTTTTTGGTACCAGTACTAGGGGCTTGAATTTAGAGCCTGGGCTCTGTCCCTTGGCTTTATCATTTGAGCTATAGCTCCACTGCTGGTATTTTAGTAGTTAATTAGACGTAAGAATCTCGGAATTTCTTGCCCAAGCTGGCTTTGAACCACAGTCCTCAGATCTCAGCCTTCTGAGTAGCTAAGATTATAGGCATGAGCCACCAGCACCTGTTTTCTTTTCATTATTATTATTATTAGTAGTAGTAGTAGTAGAGGTAGTAGTGGTAGTGGTGGTAGTAGTAGTAGTATATGTGTTTGTGTGTGTGCGAGTCCTGGGGCTTGAACTCAGGGCCTGAGGACTGTCCCTGGGCTTCTTTTGTCCAAGGCTATCACTCTACCACTGAGCCACAGCACCACTTCTGGCTTTTTCTGAGTAGTTTGGTGACAATAAGAGTCTCACAGGGCTTTCCTGCCCAGGCTGGCCTAGAACCACAATCCTCAGATCCCAGAATCTTGAGCAGCTAGGAGTACAGGTATGACCACCAGTGCCCAGCCTAGTTTTCTTTCTTTCTTTTGTTGGTTATGGGGCTTGAACTTGGCCTGGGCTCTGTCCCTCAGCTCTTCAGCTCAAGGTGAGCACTCTACCACTTGAGCTACAGCGCCACTTCCGGTTTTCTGGTGGTTTATTGGAGATAGGAGTCTCACAGTCTCTCCTGCCCGGGCTGGCTTTGAACTGCGATCCTCAGATCTCAGCCTCCTGAGTAGTTAGGATTACAGGCGTGAGCCACCAGCGCCCGGCCCCAGCCTAGTTTTCCTATTCCTAGGGCCAGCCATGGTCAGCCAAGAGACTGGTCTCCAGATGTTCCAGGAGAGGCTGAGTAGACCTTGGGTGTTTAGATATTCTCTTCTCACTCCCCTCCATCGGGTAAGGAGTTCAAAGTCAGCGAGCGCCTAGGCCGAGCCAGAGACCCAGGTGTGCAGGGAGAGGGGGGTTGCACAGAAAGGAGGAAAGACGGTGGCTACTAGGGGCCACCTATGGATGCACGGTTACCAGAAACTTCTTTCTACCCCCTTAAGATGCTGTCCATCCCTTGATGGTGGGGAGGCTGTAGCAGAGACCGTTTGGAAAGTCCTGGCCTGAGCTCCATCACGCTGGCAACCTTGGTAAAGGCAGGGATCTCCTGCAGCCTCAGTCTTCTCAATAATACAATTATTATCAGTGATCATTATTATTGCCATTGGGAAGTCACAGGTCTGGGCTCCAGACACCCTCAGCCACGGGGCCTGGTCTGGTGTTAGGGCCTTGGCATGTGCTGCTCCTTCTGACCACAATGTCCTTCCTTTTCTTCCTAGAAAACATCTACATGTCCTTCTAAACCCAACTCCAAAACAAAGCAAAGGATCACTCCCTCTGATTTTGCTTCTTTCTTATCTATGTGGCTGGAGCCTCGGTTCCCCCTCCCCTCCCCCCCGGCCCCCCTCCCCCCGAGACTAGGCCAGGGTTACTATCATCATCGTCATCCTTGAGCTTTGAGGGTCCGGCATGATGCTGGCATCTGGCAGGTGCTGGGTGATCCTGTGATAAATAGGTCCAAGTGTTTTTGTCTTCTTGGGATTGTTTTGGTGGTTGTTGTTGGGTGTGGGGCTTGAACTCTGGGCCTGGGCGCTGTCCCTCAGCTCTTCAGCTCAAGGCAAGTGCTCTACCACTTGAGCCACAGCGCCACTTCGAGTTTTCTGATGGCTTATTGGAGACAAGAGTCTCATGAACTTTCCTGCCTGGGCTGGCTTTGAACCACGATCCTCAGACCTCAGCCTCCTGAGTAGCTAGGATTACAGGAGTGAGCCATCAGCACCCGGCTTGGGTCCAAGTTTTGCTGAGAAACTGCTACAAAAATGAACCACCTCAGACCTGGAACTCAGAGGTACCACATGCCTGCCACCGCCTGAAAGCCTCCCACTTCCAAACCCTCACCCCTCGCTGGAGCCTCTTCTGCCACAACAACAGAAGAGAGACAGACGTGGCCAGGAACGGTGTTTTAGGATCCATGCTGAAGTCCAGCCTCAGAGGGGAAAACGCCCACACGAGGTCACCCAGCCTAAGAGAAACCAAGGCAAGGGTGCTGATTTCTATAAGACCGGTGTAATTGTCCCAATAAACCCACCGAGTCTGGTGTTTGACATAGAAACAGTGAGCGTTGGGCTTTAATCAGCAACTTAAGCAAATAGAAAGGAATAGATGGTGATGGAATTTGAAAGTGATTCAAGGCAGGAGGAGATTCATAAACACGGGGGAGAGAATCAGTGTTGGGGAATAGTTCGGTAGACCCAAGCAGAAAGCTAACACCAATGAGATAAAATGCAACAGAACAAATGGCCAGCCTTGCATGCATTTTTACAGTTAAACAAATCAATCATCTAAAGCAAAGATAAAGGGGATTGAACTGTATACTTAGAAAAGGTTTACATGGTAAATTTTGTTATATAGTCTGTGTGTGTGTGTGTGTGAGTGTGTGTGTGTGTGTGTGTGTGTGTGTATGTGTGTGCACACGCGCATGCACTAGACCTGGGGAACTATCTCAGCTTTTTTTTTGCTCAAGGCTAGTGCTCTACCACTTGAGCCACAGTCCACTTTTGGCTTTTTGGTAGTTTATTAGAGGTAAGAGTCTCATGGACTTTCCTGCCTGGGCTGACTTTGTACCACAGTCCTCAGACCTCAGCTTCCTCAGTAGCTAGGGTTACAGGTGTGAGCCACCATGGCCTGGCACAGTATTTTTTTTTACTGCAATAAAAATATATATAGCCAGAGCTGGGAGCTAGTAGCTCACACCTGTAATCCTAGCTACTCAGGAGGCTGAGATCTAAGATTGAGGTTCAAAGGTAACCTGAGCAGGAAAGTCTGTGAGACTCTCATCTTCAATCTTCCAGAAAACCGGAAGTAGAACTGTGGCTCAAAGTGGTAGAACATTAGCTTTCTGCAAAAATTGCTTAGGCATAGTGCCCAGGCCTTGAGTTCAAGCCCCACGACTGACAACTCTCTCTCTCTCTCTCCAGACTGGAGGTGTGACTCAAGTGGTAGAGCACCAGTCATGAGCAATCAAGTGGAGTAAGGGCATTAGGCACTTAGTTCAAACCCCGGTACAGGAAGTAGAATAAATAAAATATAGTAAAATAACATGTGGCCAGGGCAGTGATAGAAAGCAACATTCTGGTACCCAGAATCCGGAACGAAGGGATCAAAGAATCCTTGGGGAGCCTCGGGAT